TGCTCAAGCCTGCTCCTCTCATGCTCCTGAGACACTGTTTTATTTTTAAAAAACACTTTAGACAGAAGATGACCTCCAGCCCACCGCGGTTCTCATTTTGGCCGTGGTCACCACCCTCCCAGCCCTGGTTTCCACCTTTCCACAATCTGCTCGTCCTGTGGGGGTTTCTCCATACGAAGTCCCTAACATATCTCCAATGATGGCAACATAAAAGCAGGCAGTTTGCAGGTAGGAAGGAGCTGATGAGGCCGAGCAGAGGTGAAGGCCAGCGGCTTCATCCCTCGGGGACAAGCAGGCCTCTCAGATATCCCTCTGGGTCACCTCCCAAATGAAGTACCTGCCTTGGCCATGGGCAGGAAGCAGGACTTGGCCCAGATCCCAATATATTTGACCTGGCAATTTACATTTACAGGTGAGCGTGCCGTAACCGGGAAACTCTACTCTGGGAAGAACACATTTTCATTATCAAGGCTTTAAATTAAGAAACCAAAGAGCAATGCCTGGAGTGAGGGTGCAGGGACTCTGCATGACCCATGCCGCTTTCCCCTGGCACAAAGGACCCTGGGAGGAGGGTGCGGCCTGCTCTCAGTCACCAGCACTCGCTGCTTCTACATAAAGGACTGTGAGTCTGTCCCAGACTTTTTAGCCTAGACTTAAAAAATTCACAGCCCAGGAAACCCTAACCATTTAGGAACCTGAGGGGTGGGCCAAGGATCTCAGAGTTGGGTGCTGGGCCGTGGGCTGCAGTGTGTGGCTGGGGCTTCCTGCAAGCACTCCCGGGATGCCGTGCGCTGGCCCGAGGCCTCGCCCACCTCCTGTCCTCGGCCCTCATGCCCAGCAGTGACAGGAGCCGGAGCAGCCCCTGGTTCCAGGCCTCTGGTGGGGCAGCTTCGATGTAGGGAGGGCTTGACTGAGACAGCCTGGAGCTCTAGGCAATCCTGGCACCACCTGCTTCCCAAAGTGGCTGCAGAAAAACTCCTGCTTCCAAAACCTGGCACAGGCTGTGTGAGGCCTGAATGTGGAGGCACACACTTCGTGCAGGGTCCCTGCTCAGATGCAAAGCAAGGCTAAGAGCAGGAAAATTATTCAATTACTCCTCTTGCTCATCAAAATAAAGTCATAGCCATTAGACCTCTGTGTGACTAGAAGTATACACATTATAGAAGTGTATATAAATGTAAATACATACATGCTTATTTTTCCTTTACATACCTTTTACATATGTATGTGGTATACATGCGTAGTGCATAAAACATTGATGATAAACCCTAGTTAAGATTTCAGATCTCAGTCACAAAGATTTCAGAAGCAAATTACTATCCTTAAATTCTAAACTAAGACGAACATTTTACATTCTTGCTAACAAAACGCTCTCTATTAGCATTTTATTTTAAAAACTAAGATTTCTATTTTAAATAATCACTTTACCGAGAGAGATTCTATAACTTGGTTACACCTGATTTCCAACAATAGCTCCTTAGTTTAAGGAAACTGCTCTACGGCCTTTTGCTACTTTAAAGCGTAATGATGTCTATCTCTCTATACCCAAGAATAAAGATGCCTGCAGAGGTTTCTGAAGCAATCTGATGAGATGGTCTAGACACACAGATTAAGACCATCACATTTTCAAGAAAAAAAGAGAAAGAATCACATTTTCAAGGGCAGAAGATCAAGACCAAATCCAGGACGTTCTGAAGGACTCATATTTAAATTATTTCACGTATTTGTAACTTGGGTGGAACAGGACATCCTTTAAGATAACCAAATAATGCATCACAGCCCTTAAAACTCACAGCATAATATCTCTTTTGTTTTAAATACACTTAATTTTGTCACATTTTCATTTTATAATTTCAAGATTTCTAAAGCTCCTAAAGCCTCAAATCGAGAATTTGACTTTGGCAATTCCCAAAGTCACAAGCAGGTTGTATGTCCACAGCTATTTGGAATGTGGTTTCTGATGGAAGCTTCTATGAACGCACATGAAATCCCTCTGGATCGCAAAGGCCGACTCACCCTGTCTCAGAATGAAAATATATACGTTTGTGATGGACAACAGAACAGATCCTAATTACTAAAACAACAGGAAAGTCTACAGCACTTCTCATACAGAATGAATGCAAAATGTTTGAGGAAAAGTCTTTCCAACTGAAAATATCAGAGCTGATTGGAACAAAGAAGATTCTGAAGATGATCCTGGCTGCTTTATGAGACTTTCAGAATTTTCCACATCTGCAAGTGAAAATGAACCTCCTGCTTGCCCACTGAGGACAGGGAGGGAACAGGATAGGATAACAGACCTTCAAACACTTCATAGGGGAAAAAGGAAGACGGGCCAGCCCCGTACACCCATCAGCACATCCACACCAGCTGTGCAGATGACTCAGCTAACTCTGTGATGGCCGGGCATGTCAATGAGACAGCCAGGCACCGACGACCTGCCAAGAGACAAGATGGCCAAGTTTGGGAGGAATCCCTGGAGGGTGGTCACTCCAGGGCCTCTCAGGTCTGTGCCTAGGAATCTGCATTTGCAAGTAGCCCAGATGAACTTCTGCCCAGAGGCCCTCACCAGTCATGGCTCACACAGGCAGTGGAACCCCGCACGCCTCCTTGTGCAACTGGCATGGATTTTCCTTATTTGCCGACACTGCGCTCCTGTAACGCCTACTCTTCACCATTGGTCCCGAGTTTACTGAACTTACAAACAGAACAAGAGAAGGGAACTACAAGGGAAAGCATCCACCTGAAACAGGACTGACCAGGACTCGCGTCAGCGGACACAGCAAACGTAGCACATATCTGTGCATGGCTCACCACTCACAAAGCCCACAGTAGCAGTTTCCACACAGAACATCCGGGTGTCTGTGGGCAGGGAGAAGATGCTGCACAGCTGTTTCTATGCTAAATACTTAAAGGTGTGAATTTCATTACATAATAGAAAAATGTATGTTTAGAATACAAATGTGGGCATTTATGTTAAATACATGGAAACACGTAATCCAGGTGTTTCGGTTCATACCACTGTGGAGACTTTTCGGTTTGTTTTCATACAACTGCCCAACTGGGGCCCAGAACCAACACCCACCAGCTGTGTCACTGCATCTGTTTAACTGTCACACACCAGCCCTACCCCACCAAAAAAAAAAAAAAAAAAAAAAAAAGGCCATGGCACTTACTAAAAAATTAATTTTACATTATTAGAGACGACTTGTGGTCCCCTTTGAAGAGATTGCAGTACATGAAGGATTTCAAATACAAGTATGTTCTGGGTGTCCTGATCTCAGCACCCGTCCACACTGGTGGCTTTAACGGTGCTTCGTGGAAACTTCCGGAAGACATGTGTGTCATGTCTAAGAGCAAACTGGCGTTCACGCCTCAGCACCTTTTGCCTCTTCTTTCCTCCATCCCGCAGGCACCATCTTCTCCCAGGGAGCTGCTGCTGTGCTCCGAGGCTCTGTCCCGCCAGTCCATGCCAAGTCCCTGCTGCCATTGTGGAGAACCAGCCTCCGTCTGTCCAGGTGTGTTGTGCAGAAAGCAACTCATCCGAATCTGTTTTAAAAACACACATTTGCGACGCCTATAGGCCCTCAGAAGGTGGAGGCAGACAGGATAAGGGCAGCTGTTGTAGGGGCTGAAGATCAAGCCCGTCTGTCTGGTGACTGATGGGTGCTGTCTGCAGTGAGCCACCGCACATTTAGCAAGGCTGTCTGGCTCCTCACCGCCACCAAGCCTCCACCGGTCGCGTCTGGCCTGGATTCTCTGACGCCTGCACAGCCTTCACCTGGTTCATAACTCAGCTCACAAAGGCCCCCATACCACAGCAAGGATGGCGGTGGTCGCACCTGCGGCCATTTATCCTCTCTGCATCTAGCTCCTCTCTCTGGGGCAACAGCACCTCTGAAGTCACAGCCTGGCCTCCCAACTCTCCCCCATCCCGGGCTTCTTGGTATGTTGCTCTGCTTCACACACCTCAGCAAATACTGCTGATTAGCCAGAATCACCCAGAAATCTCTTGATTCTGGCTGCTTTTATAATTTGTAATATTTGTACTTCTGGTGTGATTTGAGGAACAACAAATTTTAAAATTAGACAAGATGTGGTTTTTATTTTCTCCTTTCTACATGCAACCTTGAAAATTCTAGTAGCAACAAGGGTTTCTTGAAAATAACTTCCACCAAATAGAACCTATTACAAAGGTACTACAAGGTGCCAAATAACCACATAGATGTAAATAGAGATGCAGACACAGATATAAAATCCAATGGTTAAACTAGATTGAGAAATGCTTGCCAGTTTGCAGGACTTCTAAAACTTGACATAAATGTTCGCTAAGGGATACCAGATGTTTTGAGATGAGTGAGATGCTTGACCTAGAACCACAGGCTCTCTCCTCTTTACAGCAAAAAATCCATAAGGAAGTCAAATCTGAAAGAACCAGGTACAGTTAAATGGCATAATCAGCCATCTTTCCCCATCCCTGGGCCAGCTGCGGTAAGTGTAGCCAGTCATTCACCAACATCCATCTTCCAGGCCATGGCTACACTTTACTCCCAGCTCCCTGTCATTATGTAGATTAGGTAAATCATGGCCACTCTCACCCTAAGCCTCCCCCCTCCCACCCCCACCCCTCCCGCCCCACCAGCGTGGCAATCACCCAGTCCCAACCACAGCAAGAACAGCCGCGTCCTTGGGAATGCAAAGCAGGGGTCTGGAAGGAACCTGGATCCCCGAATACCTCATGGAGTAGTCACCAGCCTGGAACTTCCTTCCTGAAGGGTTTGCAAGAGAGAAATCCTCCTTGGTTCCTCAAGCTACAATCCTGCAGAGTCTCCGGTCACAGCATTGTTACCTACCCTCATCAGGAGCCGTTCATGCTCATCAAGACATGAGAACAAAACTGTAGTGGCACAGTCACACACTCCCAGAACGCAGACCACCTGCTGCTCACATTCATCGTATTAACACCAAAAAGCCACTGTGGTGGATATCCTGGATGTGGATGCTTGGCGGCTTTTTGTTGGAGATGCGCTTTGTGCATTTATCGCATGACCATCTTGGGGTCACGAGGGCCTGCGCAGATGGCAGCTGTGCACGTCACAGGGAGTCTCACACGCTGGACTCTCAGCCAGCTCCCAGCATCAGCACCCGCAGGGTCCTCTCCTCCAGGAGCACGTGTTTGGATGCCATAGTGTCCTGTGGATCCACATAACTGCGCTGTGTGCCCCAGGAGCTTAGATAGTACCACTACATCAACGCATCCACAGGTGAGGACGGGGGCAGAAGCCAACCTCAAGCAGTCACGGTCCTCCGTGGGGCTGGCGTCCAGGCAGGAAGGTGGCTCAGCAGCTCTCCTCTCACTGTGGGAACTTCCTAGGTCCCCACATGAACAGGACCTAAGTAACACGCAACAACAGGAACAAGAACACGACCAGCAGCTTCTGAGATGAGCAAGTTGGGCTGATCATGAGACACCTGAAGGGGACGGTGCCAGAGCCCCTCCCACTGACCTGTGAGGACGGCGCTGCCAGCATCTCCCTAAAACCAGCCCAAGTCGAGGTAGACTCGAGGCTTCCCAGGAGTGGGCAGATCCATTCAATCCCACAGTGAACCTTCTAGGCCATTCTCACGGCCCTCATCTCACAGATGGGAACCAAGACACTGCACCATAGACCTGGCCCCAAGCCCCCGTTCCTTCCTCTACACCACACACAAGTACAGTGAGCACTTAGGGACTGGGCATTCATGTAAAATACTGCTTAACTGAAACTTCTGATTTAGAAAATGTTTAATTCCTACTCACAGAGCTGAAAGTGTTCTGTCCTAGGAGGCGGCAGCTGTAATTAAGCATGGGACAGGAAGAAGCGATTAGAGTGGTGCCAAGTATTAAATATTCATCTAAATCTATTCACCACATTGCCACGCTGTCACCTGCTTCATTTTCCGTCCTTAAAAGACACAATAGTTAGGTCTCACAACCTGTTTTACTGATGCTTAGCTACAAAGGAGCGAGCTACGTATCCAAAAGAGAGATATGGGAAAACAGAAAATGTCCACAAGCGATCGGGTGGGAGGGCAGCTGCAGCAGCACCTGGCTATGTTGCGTTGTGAGCCAGCCACGTGGGCTGGACAGCTTATTTAGCCACTGAAATTACATCATCTAAGATTTTTGTTGCAGTTACTTTGATAAATTCTCCCACCTGCTATGGAGAGTAAGGGTTTAGCTTGCTTTCTTTTATTTTTTGAGTCAGAGTCTCGCTCTGTCACCCAGGCCGGAGTGCAGTATTACAATCATGACTCATCGTGGCCTTGACCTTCTGGCTCAAGCAATCCTCCCGCCTCAGCCTTCCATGTAGCTGGGACCCACAAGCGAGTTTCATTTCTTTGCTAACAAATTCCTAGTTCACCACTGCGTGGCGAGACCATCAGGACCATCTGCCTGCACGTCCAACCTTACCGGCCAGCTGTGTGGTCTCCAAAGATGATGCACCCCGGTTGCCCGGGCACTGCACGAGATGCTGAGTCTCCAGGTCTGCCGCCATCTAAGGGATTGGCAGCCCGGAGCATCCCGATGTGCCACCGTGAGCCTGCCTTTATTCTACAGGGCGACTCTGCTTCCCGTGATGAGATGCAGCACGTCAGCACAGATGAAAGGGTGTGAGCAATAACACATTCCCCAGATACTAAGCAGAGGACCAAGGCTTTAGTTCCTTTCTTATTTGCTATGGGCTTGATTCAAAAACAGCTTTCTGGGATCCTGGGGACAAACATCTCTAACTAGTGAGAATTCTGGCTTGAGTAACTGAAGAGTCACCTAATGCCCCTTTTGTAACGGCTGTTTTCATCAGAATTTGAGGCCAAAGGGAAAAATCAAAGGGGGACCAAGGTCCAGACACTCCAGTTTGTACAAGGCCAACCAGCCTGCTTGAGGGAGTGAAAGGAGCAGTGTTTTTAAACTGCCGAGTTTTAAAAACATGGCTTTGGAATAGACACAGTGGCTCACGACCATAAGCCCAGCACTTTGGGAGGCCAAGATGGGAGGATTGCTTGAGATCAGGAGTTCAAGTCTAGCCTGGGCAACACAGCAACACCCTATCACTTTAAAAAGAAAAAAAGGCCGGGCGCGGTGGCTCAAGCCTGTAATCCCAGCACTTTGGGAGGCCGAAGCGGTGGATCACGAGGTCAGGATATCGAGACCATCCTGGCTAACATGGTGAAACCCCGTCTCTACTAAAAAAAATACAAAAAACTAGCCGGGCGTGGTGGCGGGCGCCTGTAGTCCCAGCTACTCGGAGGCTGAGGCAGGAGAGTGGCGTAAACCCGGGAGGCGGAGCTTACAGTGAGCCGAGATCGCGCCACTGCACTCCAGCCTGGGTGACACAGCGAGACTCCGTCTCAAAAAATAATAATAATAATAATTAAAAGAAAAAAAGGCTTTTATTAAAATAGTAATAAAAAGGTTAATACAATAAATTACTATGTCAACATGGCACTCCCTGCTGTCAGACGAGGTGGATTCTCTGTGGCTACAATGAGGCCCGGAGAGAAATGTAACCGGCATTACAGGGAGGAAGGTCAGCCCCAAAGCCCCACGACGCTAACTCCTGTACAGTTTGTTAACCAGCCTGAAGTCTCCTCCACCATCAGACAGAAGGGACCTGGGTGGACTTCCGACGCCGGCCGACCAGACAGCCCCACCCTGGGACCCTGCCGGCAGCCCCAACTGGAGAGAATGGCCTCATGAGTGTTCTTTCCCGCCAGAAACCGCAGACTCTGAGCCAGTCCTGGCTGTGATTGAGGCTGCGCATAAACGTCTGTGCCCAACAACTCACCTTTGTACATGACACGCTGAGTCCGCCTCATTTCGAATGTTACACTAGCCCCAAGGCGAACATGGATGTTAGAGGTTAACTCACTGCGCATGTGCTAGACTTTCCCTGTAAGTGTTCAGACATTCCACGAACCGGATGAAGAAACCCCACTTTTCCTGTAAACGTTCAGACATTCCATGAGCCCGATGAACACACACAGCAAACAAAAACCGGAACGTTTAACGCCGCAGCCTCCTCCCCTCATGAGAGGCGTCTGCTTACAGCTCCCCCGAGACCACATTTCCCAAAGCACAGACTTACTCTGAAAATAAAAAACCTCCTTTTTTCCTTCCTCTGTACATCTCGTGGTCATGTTAACAACTATTGCTACAAATGCAAAGAAATGGGGTATCATGCCTGCTGGTCACCCAATTCCTACCACCAAAGCTTCAGGGCCCCCCAGTCTGATGGAAGCTTCTATCGCTCTAAAGCCAACTCTGGAGATGAAGGCCAAGCTGGGGAAAGGCTGTGTCACCCGCAAATCCACGCCCCGGGGCCCTCTGCAGCTGTGTGTAAGGAATTCTTGGCCTGTCATGGGTTTTGGGGAAATCAGGATGCAAGCAGATACCATACGCTCTGCCACGGGCCCATGAAGTCTGTGGAACCTCAGAGGAACACGGAAAAAGGGCTGCACAAGTCCCACAGGCCAAGCCTCGATGGGCGCCCATGTCAAAAACACAGACGTGCCAGGAGAGGCAGCTGATGCAGGCAACGCTTGCAATCCCAGCACGCAGCAGCCTCTGAGTGTGAGGTCTCTGGCCAGGCTCCACCACAACTGCCATATTCTGTGGCAAAATTTTAAAAATAGGTTTTAACTAGTTAGGACTCTAACTTGTTTTACAGATAAACAGAACACAGGGTTCCAACAGGCTCTAAAATACTTCGCCTAGAACCAAGTCTAGAATGCACATGGCTGCTGCTCCGAGTGTGATGAGTCCCCTGTAGTGCCATAAATCCTAGATCTAGGTGACTAAGTGCTCTTCCTAAACCAGAAGGCACCCTGAAGCTCTGAGGGCACCCTCTGTCCCCAGGCCAGTCCATCAGCCCTGGCAGAAGCTTCTAGAGTAAGAGACTGTGGATTTGTACTGGACAGATGTAAACCAGGCCAAGTCACAGGGTCTCATCCTGGAAGCCCATCGGTTTATCCACTCATGTCCTAGAGGGCCCTGCCCCCAGCTCCACACCCTCAGTCACGCTGAACCACAAGAACTGGCTTCTAGGCCCTTAAGCCACTCCCACTCTCCCCTGGACACACCCTTCTCAAACCATGAGGCCCAGAGTAGCCTTAACAGGTGGTCCCAGCAGACCTGGCCGCTGCACTTTCTTACTGGCAAATGAGTCAACAGTTACCCGAGTAGAGCAACCAAACAGGATGTTTTTCCACTTAAAAGGTCTCTTTTCTGTTCATTTAGAATTGATTGTGTGTGTGTGTGGTGGCAGAAGTTCTTGTTCTGTCACTCAGGCACAGTGCACCATAAGTATAGTGGTGCTATCACAATTCACTACAGCCTCAACCTTCCAGGCTTGGGTGATCCTCCAGCCTCAGCCTCCTGAGTAGCTGGGACCACAGGTGCGCACCACCACTTTTTAATTTTTTGTAGAGTCAGGGTCTTGTTATGTTGCCCAGGCTGGTCTCAAACTCCTGGGCTCAAAAGTGAATCTGCCCACCTCAGTCTCCCAAGGTGCTGGTGTAAGCCAGCATGCCCAGCCTAGGATTGATATTTCTTAAACTATTACTGAGTTTAACACATGAATTCCACTGACATAGATATCAGCACACTCTCACAGCTCAAGGCTTTTTCTGAATCTCGATTCTGTCCATTCAAGGTCAATATCTAAAGAAAGGGCCAGAACTGACCCTCCCTCAATGAAGCCTAAGGACAAATGCAGCAACATCTCAGGGCATGAGACAAAGTAAGAAGGGTGGAAAATACACATTGAAATTCTGGTGTTAGAATCAATCACCAACACTTTAAGACACAATCTGCTTTCCAAAACATGTAGCTGCTGGATTAACCTCAAAGGCACCAGATTCCACAGGCAGGCGCTCAGAGAGGCACAGCTTTCTAAGGCCACCCACGCCGCCAGCCTAACAGCCTCAGGGCAAATAAACAAAGGCTTGTTTCGCTCAAGGACGAAGGTGCTCAAGTCTTTCCAAATAGTTTCTTCTTCTAAATCAGTTAGAACGCCTCCTACAACACTGTTTAGAGTGCCAGTGTGTTCAGAAGTGTGAAGTAAAAATACATCTCAGGACCCCGAAATCAGTTAGCTAAAGGGAAGTCAAGGTGGGAAACGGTCAAGATGGGAAACGGCTTAGGGCAAACCTGCCTTCCATGCTCCTAACAGAGACTTTGTGGGGGGGGGGGTGTGGGAAGCCACGTACCTCCCTCACAACCGTTGGTCCACAAGGAAATTCCTCAGGGACAGAGGAGAGAACTCAAAGTCACCATCTGCACACGGAGATAAATGCGGATCTTGCTTTCTCTGGAAAGGCTCACCACAAACGCATCTGTCTCTGATCTACCTGTGACCTGGAAACCCCTCCCCGCTTCGAGTCATCCCTCCTTCCTGAACCAAACCAACGTACATCTCACATATATTGATGTCTCACATCTCCCTAAAATGTGTAAGACCAAGTTGTGCCCCAAACACCTTGGGGGCCTGAGACTGTCACGGTGCGTCCTCAACCCCTCCTGAGGCTGTGTCCCGGGTGTGTCCTCAACCCCTCCTGAGACTGTCACAGTGTGTCCTCAACCCCTCCTGACGCTGTGTCTTTAACTTGGGAAAATGAACTTTCTGAATGGGCCGAGAACTATCTCAGACGCTTCCGGTTTACAGGAAGCATTCTCTCCTGCGGGTATAATGCAATCATATGGAATCACAAAATGCCACTTTAGGGTTTGATGTGCTTCAAAAAAAAAAAAAAAAAAAAAAAAAAAGGAACGTTCTATTTATCAATGGACCATGAAAACCCACACCCCCTTCTGCAGTGATGTCAACTGGGACGAAGGGCCCCCTCCTGGGGATGCAGCAAAGGCTACCCTCTGAGCCCACTTCCCAGAGTCCAGGCTTCCTGCTGCTCAGGGAACAGCAGCCCCAGCTTCATGGGGCTCAGGCCGCCAAACCCAACTCACTCCCATCCATGCTGGAGAAGCATTCCAGGGACTAGCGAAATGGCAGGTGCAACTCTTACCTCATCCCCTTAAAGGGGAAAAGGCACCTTCCCGCTCTCCTTCCTGCTGGTGGGAACAGGAACAGGGGCAGGAGCTGGAGGGTCAGGAGTCGGGCAGCAGCCTGGGTCCCTGCTAGTCACAGATGGCAAATTCCAACCAGCACCAACCCTCGCTTTGCAGAGAAGAAATCCTTCTCTTTTGTCAGGTCTGACCCAGAAGTTTGCACCCATTGGCACAAAAAAAAAAAAAAAAACTCACACACATCTCGCCATCTGATCTTTGACAAACCTGAGAAGCAAGAAATGAGAAAGATTCCTATTTAGTAAATGGTGCTGAGATAGTGTAGCCATAAGTAGAAAGCTGAAACCGGATCCTTTCCTTACTCCTTATACGAAAATTAATTCAAGATGGATTAGAGACTTAAATGTTAGACCTAATACCATAAAATCTGGAAAACCTAGGTAGTACCATTCAGGACATAGGCATGGGCAAAGACTTCATGTCTAAAACACCAACGGCAGCAAAAGCCAAAATTGACAAATGGGATCTAATTAAACTAAAAGAGCTTCTGCACAGCAAAAGAAACTACCATCAGAGTGAACAGGCAACCTACAGAATGGGAGAAAATTTTTTGCAATCTACTCATCTGACAAAGGGCTAATATCCAGAACCTACAAAGAACTCAGAAACAAATTTACAAGAAAAACAAACAACCCCATCAAAAGTGGGCAAAGGATATGAACAGAACATTTCTCAAAAAGACATTCATACAGCCAACAGACACATGAAAAAATGCTCATCATCACTGGCCATCAGAGAAATGCAAATCAAAACCACAATGAGATACCCATCTCACACCAGTTAGAATGGCGATCATTAAAAGTCAGGAAACAACAGGTGCTGGAGAGGATGTGGAGAAATAGGAACACTTTTACACTGTTGGTGGGATTGTAAAATAGTTCAACCATTATGGAAGCAGTATGGCGATCCCTCAAGGACCTAGAACTAGATGTACCATATGACCCAGGCATCCAATTA